TAGCCGATAGCCTTCTAAAAGGCTCGGTATCTCTTCAGGGGTCAATAACTTCTCTCATACACGGAAACACAAACTTGTCGATATCCCTAATCGGAACAACAATAAGAGGTAACCATCTTGTCCGCAGATTATCTACGCAACGTACCAGGGGGAGCTCGTCGCGAATTTTGGAAGCTGAATAAGAGAAAGTCGCCGAGCTTAGGGATGAATTATGTAAAACTTATGTAACTAAGCGTTGGAATCGTATCATGGAAGAGAGAAAAAAAAAAATACTTTCTCCTTTTGTATTAAATTAAATCTACTTAAATGATTAGTCAAACAACTTATTTACCCGTTACAAAAAATAACTCAATAAAATAACGCCTGTAAAACGTAAATACATGTAGATGTTTCTTTGACTAAAGAACTCCACATAAAAACATATATATTAAAATTATTCTTAAAAAAAATATATACATAAACACAAATATTAAAATTAAAAATATTAATTAAATAAATGAGCCACTATTTTATAATTTAAAATATTAATAAGTCAATAGTACAATTTTCGCAAAATATAAAAAAAAGTTTTTTTTACTTATTTAATTTTTTTATAACTACCAAGAATTATGGTCTAAAAGTCAAGAAAAAGTAAATCTATGCGACTCCTTATATATTTTATTCAATCTAGAGAACTTCACTTTAAAAATAAAATAACTTCTATTTATCTAATATATTTACTTCGGAGTAAAATAACACCTTGTAATATTTTTTGTATTTGTTTCGAGAGCCAATTTTCTATAACTTTGAGCTATTAAAATTTGTTAATTAGTTACTATATCATTCTAAATTTAAATGGACATTATTTATCTCCGACGCACAGATATACAAAATAATTATCATATTTCAGAAAGGAACTTACCGATTTATATGTACCCTTATAACAATAATTATTATTCTTTTTACGATGACCAATGTCATTAAAAACTTTCATAATATTATGTTGTAATCATCATGAATCATGAAATCTCTAATTTATTAATAGAACAATAATTACTCCAATTATTATAATTTAATTTAATATTTTTTTTCCTTTTATGGAAAATTTCTAGATACAAGAATGATAGTGTATTTTATGTTTTTATTTTATTTTATTACATTTAAAACAGTTTTTTAAATATTTAAAACTTAATAATGTAACGTTTCGGCTTCAAGAGCCATTTAAAAAAAATATTCCCAAAATCATCACATTAGTACACAATTCTAAAGGTTGTAATGGTTTTATTCAGTATAAAATGTTTTGTTTTATTTCCTTTTTCTTCCAAATCTTAAAAAAAAAAAATCTTTTATTCTCCTCAATTTATCAAAAACTTCATCCTCGATTTCTTTCCTTTTTAATCATCTTCATATTATCTTTACTGAGCAGTAATCTATCTTTGTTTTTGTTTATCAAATCTATCTGATTTTGGGAAGTATTTTTTTTTAAAGTGTGGTGAATAAAATTATTAATAAAGAAACAAATAAAAAGTTTTTTTTATTATGATATTATGGCTATTTTATTATGAAGTCAGCTGATATCCACGAATAATAATTCATTAAATAAAGAAAAAAAAATCGCTTAAGAAGAGTTTTGACGTACACGAGTTACCATGAGTTGTATTTTAGTTGCTTACATTTTTCCATTTTCGTTTTTTTTTTTTTTTTTTTTTTTTTTTGGTTATTCACAACCCTTAAATAATCGTTACGCACTCATAGATTTTAATTTGAAACAGTTCTGCAATTAAAAAAAAAAAAATAGGGAGACTGCGACGACTAAAATTTTTCTATACTTGTCAACATGTGTGTTTGATATTGTATAATTAAAATATGAACACATTAACAAACGATTTTATAATCAGAATTCAAAAACATGACCTTAATAATTGTGTTGTATATAGGTATGACTAAGGTTTTATGTTTTTAATTTACTTATCTTTAGGTTATTTTATTTTTTATTGTACATAGTTTTTGATTATTATTTTACTTTTGTAAATTATATTTTATATTTATTTATTTAGTTAATTTTATTTCCTGTATGTATGGTATGAATGTGTTCATATATCACTATAACTATTGTCCACGTGACAGATTGTTATAATTCTAAATAAATAAATTTAAAAAAAAGAACGAAAATAATTGCGTTGATGTCTCTCTAAAATTAGGTGGAGCAATTTCCAATTTCATCTTCCCACATTGGAAAGGTACACTGGATTTATCCTGTTTGGGCCTGGCGGGAAGTTGTTAAAATAGCAGAACTCTTCCGGCTCTTTTTAACTCAACTCTCTTTTTTTTGGATGGATTTTTTAAAAAATAGTTTATGATTGCTAAGCATAGTTTTTTATTAACTTAAAAACAGTACCAGGCAGCAATTTTATTGAGAAAAAAACTACTAAAATATCCTATGAACTATTATTCCAACTATTTTCATCACAAAAATTCTATTTTTAATAAAAAATGCGTAGTATTTTAAATTTATGAAATGTTACTTGGCGTTTTTTGCAATAAACCCATGATATACTGAATATTATATCAATAAAATGTTATATAATCATTCATCCACTCATTTAATTGTTATAATATAGTATAATATAATGGTTACATACAATTCGTAAAATAGGAACTCATTGTAAATATCAAGCACTTTTTTTTAAAGTAATAATATTTGCATTTTTTATTATAATAAATTGGGAAATTGTTATTTTTATCACAACAACCTTCTTTATTTTAAATACTTATTTCACTGAGGGGTTTCATTTTCAAAAAGTATAAGAAGGTTATTTTTGAGGGAATTAAGATTTAACTTTACAAAGTGGATTAAATGATATATATATATATATACTATTTAAAAGTAAATTTTTATAAAACTATATTTATAGTAGAAAAAAGATCTTTTTAGTCTCAATAATTGAAATACTTTATTTTTAATTTATCTTTTGTATATATTTTTCCAGATGAAAATTCACAATATATTGCAAAATCAGATTTTACCCCATAAGATTTCTAAGAAGGCGAAAATTTGGATAAATTTAAAATAAATTATTTTAATTATCGAGGCTAAAAAGGCTTTTTTTTCTACTGATACTTATTAAAGTCTCTTTCTCAAGATCATCTTTTATTTACAATATTTTTTTTATAGATATGTGACTATGTTAAACACGAACACTAAAAAATTGAAAAAAAAATATATTTAAAATATCACCACTGTGTATTGTTAACTATCAACTAAAAACAGAAATGAACACTTTAAATTAGTTGCGATTAAAATAAAAAAAAGTTCATTTCAACAAAATCAAAAACAGAAATATTTAGAGTCTATAATTTCATAGAAAAAACGACAAAATTACTGATTTATTAAAAATGCAACAATGCAACTGTCTTATTATAGAACCCAGGCTGAACCGAAAATAGCCTAGGTCATCGAAATTGCATTGCCATAACTATTGTACCATTGTTATCTATTATTCGCTATACACAAGCAAGAGATATGCACAATGCATTATTCTACTGATAATACAATGTATATGCATTTTATTAAGGCAATTTTTATTAATATTTAATAAAAATCCGAACTGGTAAGATTAAAAAATTGAAATTTCAATAATTATACATTTTTACTAAAGAGAAACTTCATTATTTATTTTTTCATGAATAATTATTTATTATTTTATTTATTTTTATTTTTAGCATGTGGTATATTTTACTCCGATGCACAATGCACTCATTTTAAATTCATTAATAATGATACGAACACTTTGAAATTTGAAGATGATAATAATAATTAATAAATAATAATATTTGGGGCCATTTTAGGGTTCATATTCGTAGTTAGGGGGCGCTGTTGGAATTCGGTCAGAGAGCAAAAGCGCTCGGTGCATTTCCTAGGACTCAATGCTGCCACCATCTAAAAATAGTTAGGTTGGCAGGATTGTTGCGGATACCGGCCGAGTCAGGGCTCTTCCGGAAACCGATGGCTGGAAGTATCAATGAAGAATTCAAAAAGATGATTTATTATTTATTGTTATCTAGTGCAAAATTGATATTATTTTTATTACGATAAATGTACAAATGAAAAAAAAATCTCAACTTATTCATGCAAACGTTGATTTTTAGAAGCTAATTATTATTTTTATTTACTTTTTTCTTCAAACATTTATTTAATTTTTCAATTCTTCATTTTTTTTATAACAAATAAATTATTAAAATGGTTTGTATATTCCCACACTAGAAATGAAATTATTTCATAGAACTGTATTAATGGAAGATGCTATATTAAAAAAAGTTATATATTTTTCAATGTTTATAAAGAAATTATTTTTATAAAATTTACAATTTATATTTATTATTTTATTTTAAATAAATATTGATTTCTTCATATGTTTCAGGGTATCTTAATTTTTTTTTTTTTAATATCAATTACGATACGTCTATTTTTAAGGATGACTTGAATTGTGTATAAGGTGATAAGGCAACATCAAGAAAAAAAATCACAAGTTTAAAAAATTAAAAAAAAAAAAAAAAGAGAGAAATAATAAGAATATAACGAGAATGAAAAAAAATATATATTATTCTGTACTATTTTTTTAACCGTAATTTATATTTTTACAAAATAGGTAAAATGAGAAATTGCTTGTATATATATATATATATATATATATATATATATATATATATATATATATATATTTTTTTTTTTTTTTTTTTTTTTTTTTCTTAGTTTAGAGTGTTTTCCAGGAATTATTGTTTTTGTTTACAAGTTGATTTATTTTTAAAATACGTTATTAATTAAATAATAGATTAGTAAAAAAAAATTTTTTTTTAGCAAAGTTTAGTTTCATAACATTGGCATGTGCGATTGAATGGCGCTTCGCAACAATGTTGGCAAAAAAAAAAAATTGCAACTCACGTTTTGTTTATTTATTTTGTTTGTTGAAGAATAAGAATAATTACTAACTATCATAAAGGTAATATAAGGATGCCTTTACCTACATTAGATGGTTGGTTGTCTTGGTAAAGCCTCGCTTGCATGTTCTGCCCGACGGCACTCACTCTAGCACACACTCCGCGCGGCGACTAACGACAAAGTAGGCCAAAGACTGGGCCCCCCCTGCCACTTTCACCTAGCTCCCCTCCTAGCCTCCGCACTTCCTTCTGCAGCGGTTACCCAACCCGCGGTCGACGGCCGGATCACTCGGTCGCTGTGAGTCGCGAAAGGGAGTTCTCTCTGCGGGGGATGGCAAGGCTGTGGCCTCTATCTCCTCCTCCTGTGCAAGATGTTGAGGACACCAAGGACGGAATGGGGGAAAAAGAACCATCGAATTCGGATCAGGACCTTAAACGATGTCAATATATATCCAATGAACGTTTGAAATCAAATGAACGCTGAACGATAGAAAAAATATTTTGCATTATACCTAAAAAATATCAACATAAACGATTTAGGGTGGAAAATGTAAATTTATTTTCTGGAAGAAATACAATTTTTAAAAATCTAGTACATTCCAACAACATCTATCTACCCTCTAACATTTAGCCGAAATATTATTTTTTTAAAATAATAAACCTAAAGAACATTACTTTAACTACGAATATAATCTTACGAAATTTGATATTAAGTATAGCGATTCTAGGTCATACATATACTAGTATTTTTTTAACGGAAAAAGTATTTTGAAAGGTTCCATTTAGTTTTCATACGAAAATTTAATTTCAAATCAATAATTTTAAATAAAAATTTAATAAAAGTTAATTAAAATTTTAATTAATAGTTTTCGAACACAAAAAAATTGAAAAATAAACATTATTCTGTGACAAAGTCCTCTCAGAATAAGCATAACGAACAAAATAAAAAAAATACATATCTGGCCAAAAATTAACTTAAAAAAATGTTGAAAATATATACAGTAATTTAAATATGAATATATAAACAACTAAAAAAAAAAAAAGAAATAAAGCCTTTTCAATAATATTTATAGTTGTAATGTGAGAGAAGAAAAAGTATATATATATATATAAATATAAAAACATAGAAATAAAAAACCTAGAGAAAAGAAAAATCATTGATTTTTAATATTAGAAACATAAACAATAGCCTAACTTAATAAAAATTCAAATAACAGTATATATAGTAATTTAAAACATTATCTGTAAATACTAAAAAAATAAAAATAAAATCTTCTCAAGAATAATTATAATTGTAACAGGAACAAAAAATATGGGTTTCCTTGATTTTTTTTTTTTTTTTTTTTTTTTTTTGAGGATCACTAAACATATAATAATAAAATTTTATAGGTATTGTTTTATCGTATTGATCTGTCTCTAGTATGTTTATTGTCCCTAATGTTCAGTTAAAGAGTTAGCGAAAATATAAAAATAATAAGAGGCATTGCCGAGAATAAACCATATAAATAAAATATAAATATTTTTTCACACTTATTTTTTGCCTTGTGGTCAATTCAGTGAGTAATGAAATTAGTTTTTTATTGCTATTTATTGGAAAAATCTTTGCTCCCTCTTTTTGGTATATGGCTATGATCTATCTAAAACTAATTTTATAAAATAAAATAAAAACACTTTTTTAGTTGGATAATGGCCATTGGCCAATCTTATTAAATACTGTGACATCCAATTTTCGGGGCGAACAATATTGCTCAAGAAGGGGACAAAGTTTTTTGTCCAATAAATAACGATCAGAAACTAATTTGATCATTATTGAATTCATCACATGGCAAATAAATAAATGGGAAAAGATATTTAGAATAAAGGTGAAAATTTAAAAATAAAAAATATGCCTGAAATCGTTAATAAATTATTATTCCTTTAATATTTCAGTATTTTAATTTATTTTCTCGAACAAATATAATTTTTAAAAATCTAGTACATTCCACCAAACTATATCTATCTACCCTCCAAAATTTAGCAGAAATAATTTTTTTGTTAAATTATAAACCTAAAGGACACAACTTTAACTACGAATATAATCTTACGAAATTTGATATTAAGCATAGAAATTCTGGTCATACATATACAAGTATTTTTTTTTAACAGAAAATATATTTTGAAAGGTTCCATTTAATTTTCGTTCAAACATTTATTTTCCAATTAATAATATAAAAGTATACACTATTAACAAACATTAGTAGTTTTCGTCAGCTTTTTGTTATTTTACTTCTTGGCATTAATTTTTCTAAACTCTTAAACTTCCCAACGGTACAAATACGAAACCACAAGAACCTCTATCAGGAAACCTCTATTTTTATTAAACGTCTATATCATATCTTTTTATTATCATGAATATGTTTTCAAAATATCAAATTATTTCACAATTTATATTTATCTATTATTCTTATAACTAATAAAAATAAGAGACCTAATAAAGATATATTTCAAATGAACCAAATTAAAGACACTATAGAGGAAAAAATTTTGAAAATACGTCTGTTGAGGTCTGTCAGAGTATTTCAATGAGGATAAGACCTAGCATATATTAAAGTAATAAAAACATTTGTATAACGAGTTTAAAAAGAATAAATGTATATATATATCTGTATGAAATCCTTGGCGTAATTTTGATTTCGAAAGTCTTTTCGCTTTATGCAAGAGCCTTCGCATACACAAAAAGACCACTTTGTGAGGTACTTGGATATTTGGATTCAGGAAGACTATAAAACATAAACGTTGAAAAATCGAATCCGAAATTTTTCACGATCGCAACACTTTCCCGTAATTAATATTTTATATGCAGAAAGCAATAACGCGATGGTTTAGGTATTCCGATCATAGAACTATCATATTCAAAAATATAGTGAGAACAACTTCGAGGCCCATCGATCGAACAAGTGTGATTCAGGGTTATTCCTCCAATTCTTATTTATTCATTGGTTTCCTTAATTGCTTTTTCTGTCTCACACCACTATCAATATCTAACCTCCCCCCCTCCCGTTATATGCTATAAATTTATTACAGGAACATTGTGGCAATTGATTCAGAGGCCTACCATGTCTTCAATGTCAATATATTTAGGAAAATCTGTTGGGAATTATAAATCTTAAAGAAATAAATATAGACAGTGACAGTAATACTTAAAATTAATTATCCAAAAATATGAATCATTGGTCATTTTTAGCACTGTATAGAATTTGGCGAAATGCTGAAAGCTTTAATAATTAATATTGATTTATTTAAAAATAACAAAAAATCTATGGTATGTGCTTAAGACCAAACGATAGGAGTGAAAACGTCAATGAGGCGGACTTAATAATATGAAATATTAATATTTTTTTTTCTATATAAAAATAACTATATAAACAACCATAATTGTGTTTAAATTACTCTAGTAAACTTTTCTCCAACTGGTCATAGAAATGAAACGATAGGTTTATGATAACTAAAATATGTTATGATCGGTTATTTTTATTATTTTAGTATGATTCGTCAAATTTAATACGACAATATTTAGTAAGAAATTCGTCCTTTTTTGGTTCTTGAAACTATAATATTTCTTCCTTTTTTTTCTCTCTGATTCGGCGTCACGTAAATTATACAATTTTGAATAATAGCTCATTACAAAGAGAATGCTAAACATTTCCTTATCTTACATTATGTCAGTCCGATTTTTATTTTCTGAAGTATTTTAATCCATATGCAAAAATACTTCAATTAGTCGAATCCAGTCTACTTAGCCCGAACGTGACGAATCGGAAATATGACGGCTCTATATAATTCACTCTCCACAAAAAAGTGCAAAACCCGCCTAAAAAAGTTCTGACTTAAAAAAAAACAACAAAGCAAGTACAAAGGCTGTAATTCACTGAAGAATAATAATAACACATTTTGGATGAAAAAATATTCAGAAGAAATTTCAATACTTATAACTAATTAAATTTGTTGATTACATAGATATAGAAAAATACAATGAAAAATATATTTTAATTTCGGTTTAGTACGTTGTGGATCGAAAAACTACAGAACCAGTTTGGACTACGTATTTTTGTTGTTTAAAGTTACAAAAGATCCTTAGCAAATTTCAGATGTCAACTACTATCTAGAATTGAAATAGCGGCTCTACTAAATATTTATTTCATAATAATTATTAAAAAAATATGCTCAAATAATTTCATTTTAATAAATAACACCTGGGCGACAATCTCTATACGTATAAGGGGCCCTTACACAGTCAATATATTTAATATTGACTCAATAATATTATTGAGTGTCTAAGGGATTTATTGTAACAAGTGCAATATGCATACCAAGTTCAGAAATATTGCTTCAATATTATTGATTCAATAATACTGACCGTGTAAGTTAGGCTATAGAGCTTTTAGACTTAACAGTCATATAATTTTACTTAATATTTAAGTTTCAAAGGATATGTTTCTCACTTAGCCTGTTTTATTAACAGGAGATCCAAAAAATCATTTTCAACTGCTGGAAAAACGGATACCAAAGAAAGTTTTACAGAATTCTCTTCAGTAAATCTGTAAATGATCATGGCAAACAAAAAATACTATATTCTACTATATTATTGAATGATAAAAGACGTTCTGGTGTGATAATATGAATCCATACAAATAAAATTTATTTTATTTTTTAGATATTGATATTTATTTTATTATTATTAATTTACTCAACACTCGATTTCCTTTGTAAAAACCCATGTTTCACATTCTTGGGTAACGATTGGCCTTATAATGGTTTTATAAATTATTACTTGATTTATTCTTCTTTAATAAATATATGACATATCTATGATCCTGTTAAATAGTATTTATTTATTTCAATATTAAAACGGGTAAGCAGTCGATTCACAAGTTTTGTAGAAGATATTAAAGATTCCTTATAAAAAGTAAAATCGTGGATCCTTGCCAATAGTCTTTCAGTAAAACTGAGATAATAAAAATAAAAAAATAAACATAAAGAATATTAAAAAAAAATCTATCTTTCTACTTACATTTACTATCATTGAAAGCCACTCCAACTTACCTGTAAAGTAATAGTATGAATAAATAACGATTAATAATTATTAT